TTTAGTGTTGAGGGAAAGGAGACAAGTGCAAAGAGTAAAACAAGTTCCTTATTCTGGGTTAGGGTTAGGGTTAGCAAAAGCCCATAGTTGGCCTTGTAAGTTACAAGGGGTTTGTAAGATGAAAATGGCTTTTTCAATTTTTTCTTAAATGACAAAGAGCATTGCAATGCAAAGAGTAAAACAAGTTCCTTATTCTTCTTACCAATATCATTAACCTTCTTAAAACCAAGGTCACTTTCAGCCACTTTTTTCTAATGCTACTCTTATAAACAGTAGAAAATGTTCTTAGAAAATGTTCAACTAAATATATTTTTGYATATACATTTTTTCTTGTTTATAAGCATAATAGGGATTTACAAAATTATAAAAGCAATCACTTTGACCAATAAACCAATTTTATTATCATACAAATGTACAAAGGATCATTGTATTCAACTAATATTGATATSTTATGCAGAAGACCACTTCATTTATTGATAGAACATGGAAAATTACATGTCTGTGTCAATACAAGGGACTTTTATCTAGATGTTGGAAATCTAACTTAGAGAGACAAGAATTGAAATATTTCATTCAAAGATAAATATTATCTTTTGAAAAGAAACTGGAAGAAGTTGAGAACAAAATGTAATACAATCAAAATGCATAAAACAAAAGCATCAATTAAGACAAAAGTGTTAAAAATACAGTGAAGAGATTGTCAAAAACATAATTATCTCAGTCTTTATTAACTTTAGACGTTTCGGATTTCGGCAAAAAGCACAAGGAATATTTCATAAACACAACTTCTAACCCAACCCTTATCCTAAGGATCTCAAAATATTTTTATCTTCTACTTGATATAATTGGCTGTCCTACAGCCACAAGAACAAAATTATACATAACTACAAAACATAGTTCCAAACGGACTTTGACAATCATGTCAAAACAAGAGGGTAGTATCCAAGATTAACACAAACTGGACTTGATGAATCAAAACGTCAAAATATGTGACAATTTAATTTAATAACACTGTAAAATGCACGAGAACATCAAGACTGCGACGCTTTGGTTCGATAAACACATGAACTGACTCCTATAAATAAAGTAGTGATTAAATTCGCGTTCCCATTTTGAAAAATATAAAAACCCTAGACAGCAGTYACCAACACAATCAAATTCTTCGCWCATGCGAGTTGTTTACAACTATTTGACTAAACCAATAAACTTCGTATTCTTTTTTGCAAAGGATTCAGTGTTTTATTTTGATTTTAGTTATTCAAAACGTTGATTGGGAACGCCGATATATTCCAGGTGCTGTTCGAAAGGTGTTTGCATCGTAGGAGGTACGAGAAAAAAACCTGTAGCTCATCCAACCTACTTACGACTAACATCCGGAATTCCTTTACAGTCAAAGGAACATTGAGGAAACGCAAGGGCTAAAGTATACGRCAAATATTAGAAATTAGAACTCTGTAGAGATAGAGTTTACTTCATCGGAAGGGAGCTCACGACAAGCCAGACTTATTAAACTTTAACATCGTCATATTTAATGAATGGAGGTTTGAATGACAAGTAAACGTCCACCGTTCTTACAACTCCTGTCGATGAATGGAAGTCTTGCGTTTTTTCTCAGGGAAAAACAATCGCTCTCCTTCTTCACTAAAGTCGTATCTCTTGTCATCATATAGAATAAAATATTTTGTTCACTGCACAAATGATTTTTCATTACGCAATAATGAAGTAGTACTTACATTAGCGGCAGCCTTGAGACATTCTGATGTCGAGGGATTTTCCTTCATGCAAGCTTTCTTGCACTCGGCGATCCCTTCACTAGAGAGAAACCTTACAAATACAAAAATACGATGGCGATCTTCATTGAGGAATGTCGTGAAAAACAGAGAATTAGATAAATTGGACAGTAAAGTCTATGAATTCTAACGCAAAAACAAAAGTTCCACACTGACCAGCCACGCGGGGCTCATCGTATAGAATGGATTACATTTCCTACTTTAAACCATTACAGAGCAGAATCAACACAACATAATCCATCTACGATGACAGTATATACATCAGGTATAATTAGATTGCTATTTAAATTTGAAACAAAAGAGAATTACCATCCATTTTCTTTCAGGTTTCCCTCCATGCCACCACGAATTCTTGCACTCAAGAACTACAGTGCCGCTGACCAGAAGCTTCTAAACCGCGGACTACAAAATACTAGAACACAGTCCCTCTTGTACTGTGTTGCGCGGAAAGTTGAAACGCGCCCAAGTTCACAAAATAAWGTYGAGGAATCCCCAAAGTATCTGCTCCATTCCAATCCTAATAGTTTCGTTCATGGTGATTTGATATTTTATACTATGTAAATTCATAAAAATTGTTTTACTTATGATTAGTTTCCTAGGTAACGAATATCCCAGTCAAGCATTTTTTTAACAGTAATTGACACTGCCGTGCCATAATTTCGATGAGACTGGAAAATGGATCTCCAGTTATACTGAAAAAGTTGATTTATACACGTGACACAACAATAACTGCAAATTATTTGAAAAAAAATCAGAGGCGGTGAAGCTAAGACCTGTTCCAAACGCAAAAGTCGCTCATGCGGCCAGTTTAATGTAGTTGCAGATATCTGAGATTCGGTGTATTGAATCCTGGAAACGACGCTGCAAAAACCGATCAAAGAGAGCTACTTAGAAGATACCTACTTAGGAAGCAAAGTGTTCTGATAACAAATACATTGTATCCTCGCATTTTGTCTTTCGGTTCCGACACTTAACGGCGGAAAAAAGAAAAGAAACAGAAAAACTGGCGGGTGGTAAAAAATGCCAGTTTCGTCACAGGGAACCAAAACAATAACAAATATACAATTGCAATTGTTWGAAATCGAATTTAAATTCTCAAAATGGTTTACTTCTTTTCATTTATTGAAATTATATTACATTTTACTTATAATGGGTTTTAAAAAAAGACCCCCTTCATATATGTACATATGTGTGTACTGAAAAAGCTGAGAAGCTACAAGTTGCGTCTATTGTCTTGATAGTGACTATTTCCTCAGTTATTTTAGAAAACGTTCAATTCTATTGAATAGCCGACTTGCAAATTTTGCCTCAATAGTGCATTATGCTCAGTCATTTGTCTAAAGGACAATATTTTTTCAAGATTTACTGGGCTTTATGCCCGGCGCCTCGTCTTGACTCTTTAGCCGGTTTGACTACTCAGGCGTTTGGCAATGCATTGCGATCTTGGAGAGGACTTGTATCAGTTTTGATTATTTCGTTTTTGCTATAGTTGTAGGCAAAAGTTGCACCGTCTATCGGCCCTAAGCATTCATTTTACATGCACACCTATTCTTGTATAGGTATTAACCATTATTTCTTTTCTTTTCTTTCATATTTTTCTTTTTTTTTCTCATTCTTTTCAAAAGGGTTGGGTTTCCTGTGGTTCAGTTTCGATGTTTCGTTGTTCCCATGGAAACAACAATGACATTTCGTACCAATGCGCACTCATTCAAAATCAACATGGCGACACAGAAAGAGGAGAGGAAATACGACGAGCAAAAAAGCATTGACGGTTTGAAACGGGARCACTTCTTAAAACCCGATTCTGATCAAATAGACTTAAACCTTCTTTTGAAAGCTGTTTTGGACATCAGCGAGAAACTGGATCGTGATAAAGAGCAAGCAAGTTCGAAAGGTTTGGAAAATGGAACGACGCGATCGTCGTCCGAAAAAACTGTCGAATTTGATCAAACRTCTATTGCATCTTCTACTAAGTCACGTCCAAAGAGTAGCCGTCGATATGATGGAGTACACAGAGCAACACCAATTGAACGTAAAAATATGTCCTTCAGTAACAGTAAAGTACTCGATATTGATAGGGAAAACCAAAGACTATTGAAAAAGATAAGTAGCACTAGCAGGAAACGGCCGAAGTCAACTAGTTCTGCTACTAGTAGATCTCTTGCAGAGCCGATGAGAGTTCAAACTGCTGCCGAGGTTAATAGAGCAAGGTTTCAGAGGAGAGTGGATGACGAAAATCAAGTAAGTTAGTTCTTATCTGATGCTAAGCAATAAGTTTAAGTTTAAGTTACTTATTAAAGATGCAAGAATCTTTTTGGGGACTTCACTCACTGGCGCCCGAGAGGATTGAGTATTTTAAACTATCATTTACCGCCTTTTGTAGCCATTAATAATCCTCTGTATTCRTTTTCAAGGGTACTTAGAAGAGTTTAAAAAGTTTGTAAACCGTATTTATTCTAAAACATTGRCTACTTTTGGTTCCCTAAATATTTACATTGAAAGAGAAATGATTACAAGTCAGCGTTTCTGTAAACTATCAAATATTCATATCATGGTTACATCCAGCCAATATAAATGCTAACGGYAATCATAGTGCTTTCCTATTCGGTATGAAAATGAATAGTTGCAATTACTTGGTTATATCACAAAGTTTGAAGTGACAACATCTGCAGTGTCATCCAATAGTTGGAAGTGCACCATTAAAAATGTCTTTCATCCTTTTTTCCCTTTTTGTTTTTTCAAAACCTATGTAATTAAACCAGCTGATTTTTTCTTAAAAACAAAAAACTAGTTTTCACTATTCTTGGTAGTCCCCTGGCCTGTACGTACGAAAATCATTATGTTGGAGTGATTTACATTTGTTAAATTTGATTTACATTTCTGCCTTGCAGAAAATATTGTCAAGACTAAAGTCTGTTAAACCTACCAAGTCCTTAAGCAAAGACTACTTATCAAAAGAAGCTGCATCCCAGAAAAGATTTTGTGTTAATTCATCCAAAATGCGTCCTTCAAGAAGTGCATCTAGTTCAAGAAGTACTTCATCATCAAGAATGTCTCATGCCTTTAGCGAATCTAGTCTTGCATCCGATAAGGACAGCATTGCTAGTTCTAGAGTCTCTAGAGTAAGCTCTTCGTCATCACGATATTCAAGAAGAAAATATGACTTCCCTAAAGCTGTCTGGGAGCCAGGATGGTAGGAGTCAGAAAAGCCTAGAAGTTTATAAGATAAAATACAAATAATATTAAAACATGTAAATATTATAAACAATCATGGTAAATGGATCTATTAAATACTGAATTTTATAAGTGTGAATAAAGATTTTCGTGTATTTTTCCTTTTTTTTGATAATAGTATCAAAAGTATTGAGAGCTTGTGTTTGAATTCAATGTCTATACTCAGGTTCATAGAGGCCACATAGAACTAATTCCCCCACCCCTGCAAACAAAACCATATAAAACTTGTGCCTATGGTGCGAATAGAGAAGACATATCCTTCTCTGCAGGGTACTCTTTTTAAAGGGTTTCTCTTGCTTGTGGCATTTCTCTGTTTCAAAGGAAGGAGACTGGAACAAAGGCTAAGGAGGAAACCTAAAGGAGTATCTCAAGAAGRATGCTGGCACATACACGTACCTATTGTACAGAACTTTTTAGTTCTTTTAAGTTAAAAATAGTATATGCATGTAAAGTCAATTGTGCAAGTCATGTGTCAGTAAGTTTCCATGGATGCCACCATATCTCTAATGTTTGCTGATTGGCAGCAGAAATCACACAAACTCTACTTGAAGCAAATCATRATGTTGATTTGTTTTAAACCACAGTGGGGATACTAAATACCATTAGCAAAGTAACCAATTAAGGCTCAAGCTACTAATGATCAAAAAGTACTGATGAATAAGCCTTTTTCCAGTTCAATGCGAGTGGCTGCTGTTTTACTACACAACAGACTCACTCGCGTTGAGAACAAAAGAAAGCACGAAAAAATTTGACATTTCAATAGCTCTAGAAATTTGAATCTTCACCAATTTGAGGCTTAGATTGAGCAAGAGTTTGAACCCAGTTCTGGGAATACAGAATCGGGGAAAATGCAAATTTACAAGGCTATTGTAATGACATTTTTTCGTTCTGTCTTTTGTTTTTGGTAAGGTCTCTGCGCATGAGAGACTGTTGTCAACATAAGCAGAGGTTGCCTTTTTTGAATGGGAAAAAGGTGTATTGATCGTTTTCAACCATTCCCAGGAGATTCAAAAGATAAAAGACCCGCGGCCATGTTGGAGGAATGAACAATAGATACTAATGAGAAATCCTTTGTTAAAGTTCCTCCAACATGGCCGCTGTGACATAACCTGAAAACGAAGAATTCAGCATTTTAGTGTTTTATTTTTTTTTACTATTGGGCTTCCTTTGTTATTTTTTTTGGCAACACCGTAAGTTGTAGAACTAGGGACAGTGGCAGTTTTAAAAGTTTCACACCTAATTTTATTATAATTAAATTTTTTCAATTATCTATAGTACATGTTGTCCAAGATGGTCTATTCTAGTGCATGGAGGTACTAATGGAATTATATATAATCTTTCCCATGTTATCATACCCATCCGGTGTGAAGTGTACTTCATCACTCCAGAACTTTCGAGACCTATTTATATTCATAAACCTGTCTAAATCAGCCAAGACAACTTTATTTTTAAGCTTTGCTGCAAATAGTCTTAATCGTTCATTGAGCCAAAGTCTAACTGTTTTTAACTGCTTGCAATTGGCCGTTTCCTCGCACAGYCTTCCTGGTATAGTCACAAGCACTGTTTTCCCGCCATATTTATGGACAGTTCTATGTAGTTTTTTCAAAGCCTTGAGAATCGGTTCGTAATGTTTTCTATCGTATTTCTCATTGAGGGGGTTGCTTTCAAATAACACTCGTAAATCGTTAGTTCCTCCAAGGATGATAACCCAATCGTACKTTTTATTCCTTAGAAGAGTTGGAAGTCTTGTCTCCATGCTAATATGTGCTCTTTCGCCATTTATACCGCTCGTATGTACAACAAATTTGCCTTGATAATCCCTCTTGCGAAGCTTGTTGTTCAAATGCTTTGTAAGAGCGAGRGAATATGGATGATTGAATCCCTTGCCAGTGTTCCCTTTTGTAATGGAGTCACCAAAACACAGAATATAAATCATCTTTGCATTGTTTTTGGCAGTTCCTTTTTCTCCGAAGTACCAAACGTATGCTAACACTAAGGTTAAGGATAAGAGTAATATCGCTATTGCTTTGGAAGCAACAAAATTATGAGAGATTTTCATGTCTTTGCTAGCGTCGAAAAAGCTTTGCTTTCAGTCATGGTTGACCTGGCAACACACTTCTTGTATCGAGAATTCATGACATCACAGCTAAATAATTCAATCCAGTTTTATTCATGTTTTCTCTTCCATTTTTTTTAGTTCTTTTCTTTCTTTCATTTCCTCTATTTCTATTTTCATATATATCTCAGTCTCTGAAGTCCCTCATTTTTTCTGATTTCAAAACGTGTAACAATTTATCAAATTTAAATTATGAATTTAGTTGAAATATTCTCAGTCATAGGTTTTCAAACTCTTTCAAAGCCTGTCCGTTCTGTACGGTTCCTGCAAGGGTCTCAGCTACAGCTCTGGTAATTTGCATTTGAGTGGAGTACTCCAAAGCAAGCCAGGAACCGTAAGGATTACAATCCAGGAATACCACCTCATTATTTTCCAACACTAAAAAATCATACACTCCAAACAAAAGGCCTGCTTTGCGGTGAAAACTCAAGATGCATTTCTCCAAGTATTCGGAGATTTTGCACTCGCCAAGCATCTCATYATCAGCCAGGGTTGTACTCTTTGGTGGACCAAAAGACTTTTTAGGATGGACACGAGCAGAGAAAACTTTATCATCCACAACAATCACGCAAAGGTCAACATTTCTTTCAATCAATTCTTGGAAAACACCAGGAAAGATTGAAATGGTTGAAGATGCGTCAGTCGCGTAATTTAAGCTGATTTCTCGAGGGCGAACTCGTTTAGTGGGTGGGATGTATAGAGGTGTGAGGGGCTTGGACACCAATCGGACAGGTGACTCAGTTCCACGGCACGCAAATAAGCTTTGAACCGAAGCAGGATCATTAGTTATCTTCGTCAAGGGAATCTTCAAACCACATGCCTGAGCCAAGTGCAATTGAAAAGCTTTACTTTTGATCTGTTGAACACTTTTRATCTTGTTCATCCATATTGCACGAGGCAAAAACGCTTGAAGTGACTGCATAACATTGGTCCACTCCTCCAACGCGAAATCTTTAGCGATAAAAGCACCATTGAACGAGTCTCCATCCGAGAATTTCCTAGGGTGCCAAAGGTACCAAACAGCTCGAACAGATTCGGCMATRGTTTGRTGTTCTCCAGTGGTTATAACACAGCTAGAGCTGCTGTTTGTCACCGTGATATCGATATAGTGGTTAACACATAAAGGGTTGAAAAGTATTAACTTCAGATCGCTGTTTATGCCTCTAAGGTAAGCTTGGACTTCRTTAACGTGTGGGTCCCTTCGCGAGCCAACACACAGAATTATATTCCGTTCCGCCATGTTGTATAGAACAACAGGTACAAGGCGATTCRATTCACAWCGCGGTCAGTTTACTGTCAGAAAAGTGACATTTTTTGTCAWAAACATATGCAAATAAAGCGTTACGTTGTGACTTCAGGGTCATACGATTGTGTTTATGCATTACTGTTATCTGTTGGTTCATTTTRCAGGAAAAACAAGATTGTCCTTCATACTTTTCACACCAAGATAACCTAAACCCTGTTTTAGAAATGAAAAGAATGTTTAGGAAAATGAAAAAGCAAGCTTTCGGTAAGAATATATGGTTTCAAAATAGAACAACTACACCCATCGTTGTTTAACTATTTTTAACTGTTGGGGGCCGTTTTAGAGAGAAAGCCACTACGCGGTGGTACAAAAGACCTCACCACGCATATTTTTCTTAAATAATGAATGTTTGAAAATCAACAATATATTTTATTAGGCTGATTATAAAAGGACCTATGAATAGGGTCACTCAGTTCATTTTCGGCGTGCAAAGATTACCATAGGCGTCAGAGAAGACTGGCGTGCCCCATATTCGCAGTTTCCAGTATCCCATATAGTTTTACAAAGGCTTTCCAGCCTTGGAGGAAGTACGGCAAGCAAAGCAAGGGAAAAAGGATCTGGGAAAAGGTTGGAGGTACAAAATGCCGCATCCACGTTGCGATGAAAAAAAAATATAGACAAAAGGTCTTTTGAGCAGCAATGAGCATAATAATTTTAAAATGACGATTACGATTTTTAAATGTGGTATATTTGATATGTTTCGGCGTGACTTACGCATATAAACAAAAGCTCGAAAGGGATGCCGGTGAAGCATGGGCCTTAACTACCGACTAAGTAAGCTACTCATGTTCTCTGTTTTTGTTTCCCACAGTCTAGAGCTAATACTCGGAACACACAGTACCTGAGCAAATTTTAGTTGTCAATGTACTTCAACTTATATTCTAATTCAGAAATCATATCTAAATTCACTTGATCGATGGCCAGCTACGATTATAGCACAGTAGTTTCTCCGGTAGTGGGTCCGTTCTGCACCGCTACACCATTTTCAATTACAACTTCTTCAGSCTCCTTTTTCTTTCGACATGGCAGACCATAATCCTCGTCCCAGGACTCCACCTGATCCACGGTCTGCGGCATGGGTGTGAACAGAGTTTCAGGRAGGAACACTGCCAGGAGACCAGCGGAGAATGCCATGATACCAAATACAATAAATGGCAGATTTWGCATGAAGTCATTCTAGATAGGAGAGAATTATATCAGTGTTCTAAAATGGCAACCATAAGCAGATTGCACAAACAAATCTCAGGATTTATTGGATGGTAAGCGCGCAAGAAAAATCTATGGGAAAAAACTTGAAAAATCTTGATTGAATGTCCTTCTAACTTCACGCAAATTTTACGAAAGCGCTTCAACTGGATCATTCAGATCAGAGTTGTCAGCTTTGTGGACACTCTCTCAAAGCGCCTTGACAACGTTAATTCCTCTCTTTGAAAGTTTCCAAATAAAAAACCGTTGAGCTCACTTACGAGAAATACTATGTATGGTGCGATTATCCCTCCAAAACGAGATGTCATCGAACCAACTCCAAGAGCAAGATTCCTGTCAGTGACAAAACAACAAAAGTAGTAGAAGAATGAACACATACTGACGAGATTTTTTTTAATTATTATTATTATTTCATTTTATTTTTCGTTTTTAATTCCTACTCTAAATGTTTCTGATTGAAGGGTAGATGTTGYGTTAGTGGAAAAATATGAAAAGAAGTTTGAAAAACTTTTTTCTGGCGCGTAAAATTGTAGCAGTAGCGGTAGCGGTTTCTTACGCCCTTCCACTACTACTAACGAAAAATGATTCATAATAATGATAATGATTGAGATAAAATTATAGCCATGACAATAAAATATCAATTTACCTTAGAAGAGTAGGGTTAAGTTCTGAGGTGTAGATATAAATTCCAGGGAAAGTTGTCATTATGTTGAATATTCCCAGTACAGCAAGCGCCTTGATTATAGGATCATCACCTGTCAGTYAACGAATAACATTCCGATTTCTGAGAAGTTTGTGGATATTGTTCAAGTAATCAAATGGTGACGACTACATATACAGTAGTCTCCTCTCGCAGCCGTTAGGACGTTCGTTCCCAGGTCACTCCCGTCCTAACGGCTGCGAGAGGAGACTACATATACAGTCAATCACATAGAGAAACTGTAAGAAAAATAACTGGGATAGCAATGCAACAGGAGGATGGCTTCAAGAAGATCATCAAATCGATATAAATCCAAGTTTGAATTCTTCATGTAAAAGCTACTCACCTTGTGAACTAGGAACTGCTAAAACTAACAGTGATGTTAATCCACAYAATAACATAAACGTAACGTATCCAATACGACGACCACATCTACAAATATACAACAAGATGACTCAAACACAGTTTACAAAATACTTTTGATGGTGTACACACACATTCATTGGGCTCAGACACAAAAGAGAAATGAAAAAAGCCCAAGTTCATAACACAATGTCAGTTCAGAAATTCCGAAKAATCTTTTTCTAGAGAAATAGCTGCTTTTCAGAATCTATTGAAGAGTTTTAAAACTTAAAAGTATTACTGAAGTACGTACTTATTGTTACTCACTATAAAGCAACAATCTAATTAACATTATATATTGTTCTTCTTACTTCTTAAAGGAAATCCACAAACCAAGGTTACTGGGCAATCCAACAAGAAAAAGTATCAAAACGTTGAGATGAAAAGATCCTCCAAGATTTTTTGCATTTAATGTTATCCCATAGAAAACGACAGAGTTTACAAACCTGTGAACGGATYAGAAAACAAACTGAACTCGCTAACCAAAAGATAAGAATGTCAGCACGCCGGGCTGGAGAGGAGGTTCAAGGTCCGGTGTTTCTCTTTTTTTGTTATTCTATTTTAAATTTTTTTTATGATCTGCCATTCTAGCAGTCAGTTCTTACACACTATACCTGTGCATTGAACTAACTTAGTTAAGCATTTGATTTAGGTATCCGCATTATGAAAACACGAACCCCCCATCTGTAAGACAGCCTACGGACCTAGTCTGACGGTGACGAGCCATTGATAGCCTCTATAGAATCTTTATTATTATTTGGAAACTTTCCATTAAACCATGGATAACTTAAAATGTTTTCAACTTCACCATGGATTGAACTCACCAGTTATAGCTCAATATCAAAGTCCTTTTCATCATTTTCCTCGTCTTTACAAGATCTAGAATTCCAGACTTAGCAGCACCGGCTGTTTGTTGGTCTTGATAATCTTTGACACCTTTGACCAGTGCTTCAAGCTGCTTTGGATCAATCTTACACCCATTTGCCGCAGCAAACTTTTCAAAGACCTTTTGAGCATCTTGAAGCCTTCCTTTTGCTATGAGCCAAGAAGGAGATTCTGGGATCCACCTGTGAATTTAACAGATCAATGCATAAACTCGCAGTGCATTTTGGTAGTTGTTATATTAAGGGGAACAAAGTCAATCGATCTCAGCTACCCTCCGATGCAGCAGTCTTCTGGGAAAGGTTAATTTGCTGATTTCGAGTCTTCCGAGAGGGGAAAGTCCTGGGACAAAAGAATTAAAAAAAACATAAAATAATTTTGTTCTTACTTCAAAAATAAAAATGGTGGGATGCAAAGAAGAGTAGCAGTCAACATCAAGTTTCTCCAGTCTGTCAACCAAAACGCTATTCCACTTAACATGATAGAACCAATCACTATAAACAAGTTGCTGATAGTACCAAGTGTTGTTCGCAGTTTGACAGTCGATACTTCCATCGAGTAAACAAACCGAACCAACAAAACACCGGCCGTTCCGACACCCGCACCGAACCGCATAACAGCAAAAAGCGTGAAACTGTTGGCAAACGTTGAGCCAAATCCAAATATCACCTGAAGAGGAAAAAGAMTGTTCAACATCAAATCATATATGAAATATGAGTTGGATATTTTTAGGATAGATAAGAAATCAAGCGAGACTCATTACCATCAAAGCGAGGCTGATAAATAGTGCCAGTTTCCTGCCAAGATGGTCGGACAGTTTACCCATTCCAACAGAACCRACCAATAGACCYCCATAGAACACGGACTGGGACAGTGGTTTGAGATGACCTTTATCACAGATCAGCATCCACTGAAATATGATAATTGAAGTTTCATTACAGAAGGTTAGTTCTCGGCAAGCACGCTATWCATTCAGGGATCGAGCATCATTTCCGCTATACCTTTGGCTCTAAGAGGTCTAGATTTTGAATCGGAAGCAATGTCTCGGAATCACAACAATTATTCAAGGATTGTCAAGGATCAGAGATCATAAATGTAGTTATTTGGCGATCAAGGATAAGACTTTTTATCCTTGGGATCGGAAATCACTAGCCTGTATTAAAAAGCACACGAATACCAACGGGGAATTCATACTTTGCGTTGAAGAAGACATTTGAAATCCCATATTACTGTTCAGATTTCAACAAATACGATAAACAAAAAAAAAATATCGCTTATTATCAATAATTGGTCATTTCTGAAACTGGTCGGTGCCTGATATGGCCTAAAAACTCGAAGATGTTTTTTCGAAGAAAGCATAAAAATCAGGGCGAGTTTTGTGGTTACTCACGCGTCTTAAGACGGGCAACCACTATGGTATTACCATTGAACTTGAGATTTCCAGCGTTTGAAGGGATTTCGAGAACATATTTTATGAAGTGAKAAAATATTACTTGGTGAATGGAATATCTTTAATTCCATGTGARTCCGCCATGTGAACTTTCCACCATTTTGCTTTTTGATTCTTTTTTCAGTTGACAATTTAACAGACAGGGGAATCAATCACAACTTCCGTCACACAGTCCGTCTTGAATACATGGGTATAATGTTTGCGCAGACTACCCCCCAGTGGGGCAAGACTTTCCAGAACAGTGAATTGAGGTCATGAGGTTCCATTCAAGAATAATAGTTCGGGTCATCTGAATTTGAGTACCCAAATAATTATCGAACACGATAGAACAACTGATGCCAAACTTGGACGCTGTTATTTTAGCGGAGTTGAAAAAGACTCCAATCCATTATCTACTCTTCAATGCGAGTAGTGTTGTCAAAATTACTCCAAATTGGCCTGCGAACCCGTGGCTGGATTTACTCTTTTTTATATATAAAGTTTATTTACGGCACGAAGCGCATAATAAACTATATATAATTAAGAAAGAGTAAATCCAGCCTCTGGTTCCCAGGGTAACTCCAAATAGGTTCAAAGTTGCTCTTAAAAGATGAGTCAAAATTAATCTCCCATATCAGCCATGTGCAGTTAAATTGATGGAGTTTAATCTACTATAGAAAAGGAGTTTTAATATCTGGGACCTTTTCTCACTCCTCAAAATAACAGTGGCGTGATAACKTCTGGGACATCAGTACTGAGACAATGTAAAGATGTAAATTTKTACCTCTCCATCAAACCGTGAATARATATAGCTCGTGCATGTCTAATGTTACTCTAGATTWCCCCTGAATTACACTTGCATTTATACTCCATTATTGAACGAATAGAAAGATTTTGTTAYAAATAAACAGAACCAAATAGAACCGCTTCAATCTCTAACAAACAATGAACAACTTGAACAAAATAATAATCGTAGTTCATTGGATCGTTCAATACAGGTAATATGAGCAGGCTTGATTATTGACCATGCAGGAGTAGCTAGGGAGCTTGTCTATACTCCCAAACAATTATCTAAAATTGATCTACACCATAAACAACTCCACGGATTTATAAGCATAAGCTCCTTAAAATACTGCTAATTACCAGCAATCTCTGTTTAATATTTACCTCTGACACTGCACTTGTGAATTCATCATCAAACACGTATGTACAATTAGTACATCCACATTTATTRATACCGCAGACCGTGGTGTTGGAGGTTGAATCCCATGGCTTGCATTGGTAGTTAGGTGCAGAKCCATAGTAGGGCTGTATAAATTGCTGAAAGTCAACACAAATTGTCACATAGCACATGAACGCAAAGATCCATAGTGGATATCGACCAAATCCGCCAACTGCGTTCCATAAATCTTCAAAATGCACAGCTCGCCCTGGTTGTTTAGCGTCCATGATGAGGCGATGAGATTCCTCTCCTGACGTTTCTTTTGTTTCATCTGACATTTTGAACCTCGGTCTTCAAAATTGGCAGGAGTAAGATCAAGGTTATGAAGTTTTTTTAATGAATGCTGTTGTTATGATACTACTGCACTGTTGTAGTCTCGTCTCGCGGTGGGTTTCAAATGTCAGTATGATATTATGATTGCAATGCAAGCATCTGTATATGTTACAAAATACTGAAAATAACTAAGTGTTAGATAAAGACAAAAAAGCAAAATTGAGTTACATATATAAATATTTGATTCTCGACATTATTATTAAACACTTTCTCGCAACACGGTCAAGTCTGTCAAGTATCAAAACCTAGATAAATGCGGATAAAATGTCTTGCGTCACTAATTCAGTATAGCAACAAGTTATTTATAAAAGGCTGATACTTGATCCTCAAGATCCCAGTCAATTCCTCACCTAATCCCATAAACTGAACAAAAGATGTAAAAGCTGGTGATTTTGGTTTTAAAAGGAGCGGMTTTCGTATGACTGTGCAAAAATTACGGCTTTTTCGAGAAGCGACCGTTCCGTGACGGTGATGTGGTCTCATTTGGCGTTACTACCAGACAAAACTACGTGGTTGCGATTATTCCTCCTACACGAGCCGACATCGAGTCAACTCCAAGAGCAAGATTCCTGTCAGTAACAAAATAACAATGAATCATGAATAGCGACGAGAATGCTATTGATTTAATGTTATAATATGGACGTCTCGATGTAGCATATTAGTACATGATGATGATGATGATCAAGATTGACGCGGTAACAATGAACGTTTCAATGGTCATCGCGATGATGATGATGATGATAATAGTGTTAAGATATCACAGTGAGACAGCATGGCATTCAAGATTGTCCATATCGCAATATACCTCAGTAGAGTAGGGTTAAGTTCAGAAGTGTAGATGTAGATTCCAGGAAACGTTATCGCTATGTTGAATATTCCCAGTACAGCAAGAGCCTTGATAATAGGATCATCACCTGTCAGGCAACGTAAAACGTTGAGATGACCGAGTTTGTGGTTTCAGGATATTGATCMATTCGCAGCCKCTTCCCTTGTTGGGCTTCCTGTCTCTCCCAAAAGAAGAGACTGCTTACTGCTACTGGGYYGGCATTGAAAAGTCTTCTTCACGGTTCCCTGCRCCATCTTGAAAGGTAGCCGTGCCGTTGCATTGAAGTGACATGAGCAATGAGCGTGCAATGATAGAAACCTTTCTTTCACACCTACAGACAATTATTCACAGGTATCTATCTCGCTTTGATGTAATGCACGGCTACCTTGAACCTTGGCGCACGCAACCGTGAAGGATACTGTTCCTTTCCCTGCTACTTAATGTTTTGGCAAAACAAAAAACAAAAAAAACAAACAACACAACAGTCAATCACAATCTCGTAGGTGGTATGTATATAATAAGACCGTTTCATCTTCCGCGGTTTATACCGTGTTCCCATAGCCTACTATATGCCCCTAGAGTAGGGTCTGGGTACGAGAATGGAGTCACATCGAGTGAACATCCAATTGATGAATTCTTCATGTATTACTCACCTTGAGAATTAGGAACTGCTAACACAAACAGCAATATTAATCCACAAAATAACATAAACGTAACGTATCCAATACGACGACCACATCTACAAATATACAACAAAATGACTCACTACGAAGCTTATGAAATACTTATGATAGTACCCGCACTCTGATTGGCTCGTTGATTCGTCATTCTTCCACGCTCCATTTGTTCAAAACGCCTCATCGGACATCCCTCGGGACGTCCTTTTYCCCCCGTTTTTATATATATTTTTTTCTTTTAAAGTTTCTTGACTTCAGATTGCCAAGCAAGAGATTTTTATTTCTTGGTCTTTTTTGTCGAGTGACTGGSAACACAAACCAATTTTCAGAATCCAAAGAAGTCGATAGTAAAATTAACATTTGTTACCAGTTAAAGAAATAGCATTGAAGACTGAAGAAAAATTGAGGGTTATTTTTCTTACTTCTTAAAGATGATCCACAAAGCAAATATACTGGGAATTCCAACAAGGGTAAGTAATAAAAGGCTCAGATGAAATGATTCTCCAAGATTTTTTGCATTTAACGTTATCCCATTGAAAACGACAGCGTTCACAAACCTGTGAACGGATCAGAAAATAACTGTGATGGCTAACAAAATGAAATGGGTTTTCTGTCACGATTATATGAATGAATTCTACATACGGTATGTTTATTCCTGTAAATGTCCTATATGAGTCGTGCATGARCCATGTGTCAAATGTAATCTAGCYAACCTCGGTCCCAGGTCYTTTCCTGAACCCAAACAAAGGGATAKGTAGGACCTGGGGAAGAGGTCGACGTCGAACAATAAACTCACCAATTATAACTCAATATCAAAGTCCTTTTCATCATTTTCTTAGTCTTTACAAGATCTAGAATTCCAGACTTTACAACTGCATCACCGTCTGTTTCCTGTTCTTTGACACCTTTGACCAGTGSTTCAAGCTGCTYTGGATCAATCTTACACCCATTTGCCGCACCAAACTTTTCAAAGACTTTTTKAGCATCTTGAAGCCTTCCTTTCGCTATGAGCCAAGAAGGAGATTCTGGTATCCACCTATTGGTTCACAGATTAATGCGGCCGWWAAWCATTAGTTAMATACATTTAGTGTTTGTGAAGGGCGTAACTGATCCAATTTAGGGGAGCAAGAGAACGACCTTGCAGCCCTCAATGCAGACATTTCGAAGGCTAAGGGCTTTCWACTGTTGTTGTGTWGGTTCTACATTGTAGAGTCTTGCTCTGAGATTTTATTTGATTTAGAAAGATATGTCCCTTTTACTTTTTCCARGAATAAGAGGAAATGGGATTGAAGAGAACCTGCCTAAATAAAACAGGAGATAAAACACTCTTACTTACTTCCAAAAGAAAAGGGGTGGGATGCAAAGAATAGGAGAAGTCAGCATCAAGCTTCTCCAGTCTGTTAACCAAAACGCTATTCCATTAAGTATRACGTTACCAATCGTTAAAAATAGGTTGCTGATAGTACCAAGAGTTGTTCGTAGTTTCACAGTCGATACTTCCATCGAGTAAACAAACCGAACCAACAAAACACCGGCCGTTCCAACTCCCGAACCGAACCGCATAACAGCAAAAACTGTGAAACTGTTAGCAAACGCTGAGCCAAATCCAAATRTCACCTGAAGAAGAGAAAATAATATATAAGCCATTATAAAATGCAAGCTTTACTTGCTGAAGCCGTGTGATTAGTCTGATTGACCAACGTGATATTTAGAGTAAATTTCTTTTAATGAAAAAGATGGCAAAATACTTTATTTATGGTACATTGTACAGGCCATGCTACGTTTCCTCCAAAAGCGTCCCATGTTCTAGCCAATCAGTGCACATAGTTTGAGTTACTATAGTATATTTGTGCCACAATTATTACCATCAAAACAAGACTGATAAATAGTGTCGGTCTCCTGCCAAAATTGTCAGACAACTTGCCCATACCAACAGAACCAACCAACAGACCCCCATAAAACACTGACTGAGACAACGGTTTAAGATGKCCTTTATCACAGATCAGCTCCCACTGMAACACAAAATGYAGTCTATACTACTTGATTATGATAGGYAACCACCATTACATAGTCCATCATTACATTTCCTGACGTTTTTCTATTTCCTTTTTTCTATACCTGAAATAATTGTCGTTCTATCGATTTTTCAAAAAAGAGTCGATTGCCTGACGTTGACGTTTTTCTTATGACCCCCTCAGACTGTCTAACGTTAAGAATATAAAATCGATCAAAGTAGTTTTCAAAACATCGTGTCTTCCTTGACACTCGAAAGTGTAACTTTAAAAGCAGTCACAAATATTGGATATATATTCTATCCTCTTTTTTATTATCCTTTTTTATACAAATRTTGAATATGACTATTTCACACTCGCTTTTTTTAAAAACCAAAAAGTGTTCACTCAATGCTGAGGTTTTAGACAAAAGAGAAAACTCCAGTCCCAACTTGAAAAGAACGAGCTAAACAATCATCCAAGGTCAGAAGACCTTTCCCGAATTCGCTTGGATGATCACAGAAGAATAGTCTCAAGTCGAGACTGAACTGGTTCTTTTAGACCGAGTGAGTCTCGAATTGAAAMCACTGTTTCGTGTTCAACTAGGCGAATTCGGGAWAGGTCTATCGATAATGTTTTATAATTTCTACATTACAATTCATCAACAACACAACCGTGATGATGCGTGACACTGTTTAATTAGTGGCACGAGTTCAATGTTTACACAGAATCATTAAAAAGAACCTCACGCACGGCATGTCCGAGAAGMGAAATCAATTTGTATTTTKAAAAAAGAAATTAAAACTTGGCTTTTTAAGAAAGCATTTTCAATTAAATAATTTTTGAAGTTTTATGATAAAATCATTATTATTGTATTTGTGTATTATGCAAAAAAAAAAGTATATATTCATAATTAAACAGTGTACATATTTAAATTCTTTTTCAAATAAACCTTTTTTATATATCTTTTTTAAATCT